GTGCGAGCGTTGGTGCGTGCGTGCGTGCGCGCGTGTGCGTGTCCTTGTGCGTGTGCGTGTGCGTGTGCGTGTGCGTGTGTGTGTGTGTATGTTTGTGTATGTGTGCATGTGCGTGTGCGTGTGCGTGTGAGTGTGTGTGTGTGCGCGCGTGTGTGCGTGTGCGTATGCGTATGCGTGTGCGTGTGCGTGTGCGTGTGCGTGTGCGTGTGCGTGTGCGTGTGCGTGTGCGTGTGCATGTGCGCGTGCGTGCGTGCGTGCGTGCGTGCGTGCGTGCGTGCGTGCGTGTGTGTGCGTGCGTGTGTGTGTGTGTGTGTGAATGCGCGCCGAAACCGGCGGTGTGACCACGTGCGGGCGCTGCCACTGGGGCCTTCTGTGGAGCTCCTTCTGGGGACGCGATGCGTGTGAGGAGTGCGCCGAAGCGCGGGCGCTACCACCGGGGCCTGCGGTGGAGCTCCCTCTGGGCCACGAAACGTGTGAGGGGTGTTCCGAAATGGGAGTGTGGAGCCGCATGCGGCCGCTGCCATGGGGGCTCTAGGTTTTTTTTTTTTTTGTTTCTCTCTCTCTCTCTCTGTCTCTCTTTCTTTCTTTCTCTCTCTCTCTCTCTTTCTCTCTCTCTCTCTCTCTATGTCTGCGGAGCCAGGAAACGTGCGAGGGGCGTGCCGAATGGACATGCGGAGGGCAGAGGCAGGGAGGGGAGGAGGGGAATAGGAGAGGAGAGGACGCGGGGCGCTGTCTCTGCAAAGCGAGGACCCAACACCACAGGATGGAAGGAGAAAAGTCATGAGGTTCCAGTTGGGGGCTTGGGCACGTGAACAAAACGTGGTTCTAGCTGGGGGCAACTATGTTAGATAATTCAAAATCCATGAAAATCCAACGGACACCAATGGTTGTTGCTTCCTCGGGCTATCTTGGAAGACCTCTTGGAGCCCTCTTGGGCTGTCTTGATAGCCTCTTAAGCTGTCAGAAGGCCGTCTTGGGAGCCTCTTGAGCCGTCTTGGGCCATCTTGGGCCGTCTTGGTGTCATCTTGACTGCCTTCGAAGCCGTCTTGGAAGCCATCTTGCAATTTTGGAGGCCGAACAGAGCGCCAGAACGCAATTTCACACAGGGCAATCTCAGAGAAACGTCAGGGTCGAGGGGGGGAGTGCTAGAACATAACTCAACCATATGCAGTTGTGAGCACCCTCGTTGTTATTATCGCCTTCGGTGGATCTCCTTATGAGGCCACGAAGCGCGTGAAGTGTGTTTGTGTGTGTGCCGAAATGCCGACATGGGGCGAGGCTGCCATGCGGGCGCTGCCACTGGGGCTTTCGAGTATCGCGAGGAAAATCAAATGAAGGAGGTGGGCCAGCAGCAGAACCCACTGAGGCCTCCGGTGGAGCACCATATGGGCCACGAAGCATGTAAGAGGTTCACCGAAGCGGGGGCCTGGAACCGCATGCCGGCGCTGCTACTGGGGCCTCAGGTGAAGCTCCCTATGGGGCACGGAGCGTGTGAAAGGTTTGCTGAAATGGGGGGTGGAACCGCATGCGGGCTTTGCCACTGGAGCCTTAGGTGGAGCCCCCTATGGGGCCACGAAGCGTGGGTGGGACCGCATGCGGGCGCTGACATTGGGGCCTTGGGTGGAGCCCACTATGGGGCCACGGAGCGTACGTGGAGTGCACCGACATGGGGGTGGAACTGCATGCGGGCGCTGCCACTGGGGCCTCCTGTGGAGCCTCCTGTGGGGCCACGAAACGTGTGATGGGTGCACCGAAATTGAGGTGGAACCGCATGCGGGCGCTGCTGCTGGGGCCTGTGGAGCCGCCCATGGGGTCACGAAACGTGCATGGGGGTGCGCCGAAATGCCATGTGGAACTGCAGGCGGGCGCTGCCACTGGGGCTTCTTGTGGAGCTTCCTGTGGGGCCACAGCGCGTGTGAGGGGTACACAGAAATTGGGGTGGAGTCTTCGGTGGAGCCCCCTCTGGGGCCACGACACGCGTGAGGAGTGTGCCGAAATGCAGGGTGGAACTGCATGCGGGCGCTGCCCCTGGGGCCTCCGGTGGAGCTTCCTATTGAGCCACGGCGCGTGTGGGGCACGCGCCGACATAGGAAATGGAACCGCATGCTGGCGCTGCACCTGGAGCCTTTGGTGGCGCTTCCGATGGGGCCACGACACGTGTGAGGGGTGAGCCAAAATGGAGGGTGGAACCGCATGATGGCGCTGCCACTGGCGCCTTCGAGGGAGCCCACTATGGGGCCACGACACGTGTGAGTGGTGTGCCGAAATGGACGGTGGAACTGCATGCGGGCGCTGGCACTGGGGCCTTCGGTGGAGCTCCTTATGTGGCGACGAAGCGTGTAATGGGGTTTTCCGAAGTGAAGGGTGGAACTGTATGCAGGTGCTGCCGCTGGGGCCTTCGGTGCAGCTCCCTATGTGGCCACGAAGCGTGTGAGGGGTGTGCCGACATGGAGGGACGAATTGCATGTGCCGAAACAGTGACACGCGGAGGGTAAAGGCAGGGATGGGATCTGGGATGGGCGGAGGGAGGGGGGGCGAGGAGGAGAGGAACAGAGGAACGCGGAGCGCTGTCTCTTCGAAGCGGGGACCCAACACCACAGGACGGTCGGGAACTATATAAGCTTCCCAGACAACGGCACGCATTCTAACACGCCCACAGGGCACAAAGTCCGGTGTTGGATGACATGAGCGTCTCGCTTGGGAAATCGTCAATAGTTTGAATCGTTGGCCCACCTCGACCTCGTTGTTCATTGAGGAAAAATCCGCTTCTCCACCCCCAACACGGCACCAGGGGATAGGATTACCGACTGAAAGCGAGCCTTGGGCCCATGCCTTCTCCGGGAAAGTATCTTAGAAAGGTCACTCATACGCAACGCGCATCATAGCGGTGCAACAGAATTTGAGTCAAGACGTCATGTGCGTCCGATGATTCTTTTTGAGCAAGTGACCGATAATAGTTTGACCAGCTCTCCCGCACAGAAGAAGCCATACGTAATACATCCATGCAGGCTAAGTCAAGGCGGAACAAATCATTCAACGTGGGTCCGTAGCGTCAAGCAGGCGGCTCGAACAGAGCCGGCGGCGGCCCAGCTCGACGCGGGCGCCAGGAAGCTGCCGCCTGGCGCGCCGCTGGAGGGGCCACGCCGACCGCCGCCACGGCCTCGGTCTGGTGCCATGGGCGAGGTGGTGCGGCCGGCGAGTGAGGACGGCGCCCCCGCGCACACTGCCGAGATGGTGGAGGCTGCGCTGGACTCCCTGAAGCGAGCCAGGGAGGAGCGTGCGCAGTGCCGGCGGGTGCTGGAGGCGGCGAGCCTCTCGACGCGGCAGCTGGAAGCGAGTGTCGCTGGGTGGACGGCCCAGCTGCAGGCCGCGCACGACTCCCTGCGGCGGGCCGCGGAGGGCAGCGCGCGGAGCCTCCGGCTGCTGGGAGAGGCGGCCTGCTCGACGCGCCAGCTGCAGGCCCGTCTCTCCGAGCGGACGGCGGAGCTGGAGGCCGCGCAGGACGCCCTGAGGCGAGCCGCGGCGCAGCGCGCTCGGAGCCAGCGGCTGTTGGAGGAGGCGCAGGCCGCTCCAGCGGCGCAGAACCGTCACGACCGCGAGCCTGCGAGGCCGCAGGAGGAGCGGCACGAGAGCGAGCACCCCCGGGGGGAACGGCAGCTCCGGATGCATGTCGACCGCCTCTGCCAGCCGCCGCCGGTTGCCGCACCATCTGCTGGGGCTCTCTCGGCTGCCGAGACGTTGGAGGATGTCATGCAGAGGTGCGCGAAGCAGGCGCGAGACGAGCAGCACGCAGATGACGAGAGCGGGTGCTCAACGGCGGCCGGGGGTCCATCGTGGGAGGTGGCGGACTGGCTGGCCTCGCTAGACCTCATGGACATCATCGCTAGCGTGCTCGCGAGGCCCGTCCGGCAGGAGCCCCAGCTGCAGCTCCGCTACATGTGCAACCTCGGCCGCGAGCCGAGACTCCAGGAGGTGGTGCGCAGCGTTGTGAGGGACGTGCAGTGTGATCTCGCGGACAGCGTCGCTGATCGCGCGAGGGAGCTCAGCGCGGCACGCGCGGCGGGCGGAGACGAGGTGGTGCGAGGCGTGGCGAGGGCGAGGGCGAAGCGGGGCGCGGACCGCGGGGCTTCGAGGGCCGGGGCGAGAGGAAGCCCAGCGGGGCGGGGCGGAGCGCTGCTCGCTGGCGTGCTCGGCAGAATCTCCGACGCCGCCGAGGCCAGAGGAGGCTGCTCGGAGCGAGCACAGCGGCGCCTCGGACTCGCACGGAGAAGCGACGTGAGGTAACTGCGGCCTCGGGGGCGACAACAAGCGATTGGGGGCAGCGGTGCCGCTCTGGAGGGCCGAGCGATGGCTCGTCGCGGTCGTCGCGGAATGGGGGGGCGATCAATGGGTGGCAGCGAGGGCTGCAGAAAAGGGGCCTGGGAAGTGTACATCTCTTCCCCCGCAGTTATCTTGGTAGGGGGAGGGGGGAACGGCTTCTTGGAAGCATCCCTGCTTCTCAGAAGGCGCGGGCCTTCACAGCAGATGTGAGGCCCGCGCCTTCTGAGGAGCAGCATCCCTCCAAGAAGCCTTCCCCCCCTTCCCCTGCCCCCTTTGTGCGCGCCGCCAATGATCACCACCTACCAAACCACCCCAACCCAACCCGAAGGCCCCAATTTGCCCTCCACTTCCAGTGGGGGGGGGGTCGGGGAACGTGGAAAAAAAACATGGAACCCGTGCCCCCCCCCCAACCCGAAATTCGGGTCAAATTCGGGTCTTCGGGTTGGGTTGGAGTGGTCTGGTAGGTAGTCAAATGATCGCCCCCTCCCCATGGAGGCGACGCCCTATCCTGGTCGCCCCCGGCGAGGGCCGGAGGGTGCCGGGCGAGCCCGGCGCTCCAGCGCTGAGCCCGGGGCTGCGGCCGCCGACCGCAGGGGCCTCGGGAGCCGCGGGCCCCGCCTCGGCGCGGAGGCGGCGCCGAGGCGGCGGAGAGGAGCGCCGAGGCGGCAGGCGGGGCTGGCCAGCCGCGTGTCTGGCGCCAGCGCACGGGCGGGGGCTGCCGGCCCTGGATCGGGGGAGGAAGAGCCGCCCGAACACCCCGACGACATCAGCGTTTGCATACCGAGCGGCCCCTGGGCGCTCACCGAGCAGCCCCTGCCCTCTTCGGCTCCTTCCCCAGGGGCGGCGGAGAGGAGCGCCGAGCTTGCAGGTGGGGCTGGTCAGTCGCATGTCTGTCCCTCGCGTGGGCGGGGGGCTCTCGAAAGCTCGAGTCCCCGAAGGACAAGGTCGAGGGTCCGCAGGTCCGCAGGGAGCTGATTCGGCTGAACCGCGTGCCCGTCGTGAGTCCGGCTATGTAGAAGAGGCTGGAGTTACCGCCGGGCACTGACTACTGAAGTGCATCCAGGAGTCACGAATGTAAAATTGTTAAAAACGATGGGCTCCGACAAGTTCAATATTACGAAAAGGTTACGAAACTGTTCCTCCTCGACTCCTCAACCTCATCCTTCGCCTTCTCTCGTTTCCCCTTTCGCTTGTCCTCTACGTTTTAACAGTCCTCCCCCTCTCGGTCGTCACCCCCGCACCTGTCATTACCCTAGTAGCCCCCCTGCTCATTATCCACTTGCTTCTGCTCATCCTCCTCCTGCTCCTGACCCTGTCCCTCATCCTTCCTCATCAGTATGTACCCCCACTGCCCCCTGGCCAGCCGACAGCCCCTGCAACCCCTGGTGTTCCGTCCCATAGCAAAGCAACGTCGACGTACTTCGACATGATGTACTTCATATCTAGCGGCCTTCACCCCATCCCGCAACCGTGTCGGGGTTGTGGGCCAAAGGCCGCTTGGATGTCTCTTGGGGTCTCCTGGGATGCCTCCCAGGGGCGTCTTAGGGGCCTCTTCAGGGGGTTATTCGGGCATCTTCTGTTGGAGGCCTGCTCGAGGCCTGCTGGGGCCTCGTGTACGCTTCTGGGGGCTCTTTGGGGGATGTTCGGGGTCTTGGAGCTCCACCTCTTGCGAAACACCACGTGAAAAGCATTGATCGTTACCTCATGGCTCTCTTGTATTATCCAGGGGCCGTCTTGGGCGTCTTGGGGGCATCGTTGGCCGTCTCGGGACACTCTTGGGCCTTCTTGTGGCCCTCTTGAGACCCTATTTGCAGGTGTTTGCGCCATCCGGCCTCCGCGAAAGTCGTGCGAACCGCCGTAAACATCACGCGAGAAGCCTCGGAAATCCACGCAACTGAGGGCCTGCTGATTAAGACACCTCCTCCCGAAAAGCTCGGCCAGCGTTCTTATAGCCAACTTGCCGGACAGCTGGCCCAATTTCTTGAGTTCCTTCGCCCTTCCAGCATTAACCCGAGCACTTGGCCCGGGTCTGTTTCAAGACACTTCCGGGAAGCTGGCCCAGGTGTTTTCCATAAGTGACAAGTGTTTTGATGATATTTACGGCTGCACTCCACACAGACTATTTGGCAGGATTCGGGGGCGGCCAAGAGGGGGGTGATGACTGAGGGGGGGGGATATCATGGCGTGGGCCATGATAGTTCCTCAGATGTCATGGCGCCCCTTCTTATGTCATTACGTCCCTGTCCCCCCCCCCTTGGCCGCGCACGTGCCGCCCGCCATGATTTGCGCTCGCCCCTCTTGGACGCCCCCCTCTTGGCCGCCCCCGAGGGACCTGGGCACATTCCGCTCACGGCCAGGGCCCGTTGCAAAAATGCACCAGCGGCCCTCTGCCACCCGGTCTCGGGGAGTGGCCCGGGCGGCGAGAGCACGCCGAGGCCCCGCGCGCGACCGAGACACGGCTTTCCAAACGGGTCCCAAATTGGCTCAAAGCGGGAGTGGGGCCTGGAATCCCGTCGGTTGGTTGACCACACGTAGGCGCCATTGCACCGCGTGGTCAATGTCTGTGATTGGCGTCCACTCCCCCGTCCAGCGTGACAAAGGCACTGGTGAGTGAAGCGAGGGAGGAGTGGCTCCTCCCTCCCTCCTCCCTCCCTCTCTCCTCCCTCCCGCTTCTTTCCGCCCTTCTTGTATCCTCTCGCCCTCTCCGTCTCTAGGCTTGGGTTCTGTGGAGCCGCGTTGGCATCGGCAGCAATTTGCGTACGAGCCCGAAGGCTGGTTGCCAGCCTACCCCGCTCCTCGGCACGCCGGATTGATGCCCCGCTGTCCTCGCGTTGCGGACCCCCCGAGGAGCACGTGCTCCGTCGAGACGAGCCTCGACGAGACGACGTCTGAGGCGAGGACCACGCTTCATACCTTCTCCGAGGACTCGCTGGAGATCCGCTCGGAGGACGGGGACCTGCCTGGGGAGGAGCGGATGAGCAGGGAACAGGGAGGAGGAGGGAATTTGAGGAGGAGGAGGAGGAGGAGGAGGAGGAGGAGGAGGAGGAGGAAGAGCAGATGTACGGAGGGGGTGGAGAAAGATGTTCGAACGTGCGGCACTTGTTTGGGTCCCGTGCGTCTCTAGAGAGTCCGCCAGGGACCTCCAGAAGCCCGTGCTGGGGATGGGACGTGAGAGGAGGAGGGGGAGGAGGAGGAGGAGGAGGAGGAGGAGGAGGAGGAGGAGGAGGAGAACGAGCACGGGCTGGGAGGAACAGGAGAGGGGGAACGAGGAGCAGCAGCAGGCACGGAGGAGAGGCGGGCGGCCTTGGAGCAGCAGCTGGGCCGGAAGAGGCCGAGCGAGCAGCAGGCCAGGAAGAGCAGGGGGAGGCAGGAGGGCCCCCAGGGGGGCACGGGCGTCATACCCGCTTGCGCGCGGCGTTGCTGCCAGCGCGCCGCGGCCCAGGCGGCATCACGCACCCTCCATCGCCGCAGGCGGGCTCCTCCCTCCTCCTCCCTCCCTCCCTTCCTCCCTCCTTCTTCTCCTCCTCCTTCTCCTCCCCCTCCTCCTCCTCTTCCTCCTCCGCTTCTTCTTCTTCTTCTTATTATTATTTTTCCCTACCTAGGCTCTGCCTAGAAGGGTTCTTACTCTGAGGCTTAAAGGGCCGGGCAGTGGAATGCGCCCCGGGCGGTTCCCCCGGCATCCGCCCCGCGGTTCCCCCAGTTACGTCCCTTTAGTTTAGCGTTGCTTATCTCATCTTAGCTTAGCTTAGCCTAGCTTAGTTTCATCTTAGCTTCGCTTAGCTGTAGCTTAGCTGTAGCTTAGCTTAGCTTAGCTTTGCTTAGCTTAGCTGTAGTTTAGCTTAGCTTAGCTTAGCGTATATTTAGCTTATCTGTAGCTTAGCTTTAGCTGAGCTTTAGCTTAGCTTTAGATTATATCTAGCTTAGCTTTAGTTTAGCTTTAGCTTAGCTTCAGCTTAGCTTTAGCTTAGCTTTAGCTTAGCTTCAGCTTAGCGTTGGCTTAGCTTTAACTTAGCTTTAGCGTAGCTTTCGCTTAGCTTTAGCTTAGCTTCAGCGTAGCTGTAGCTTAGCTTTAGCTTAGCTGTAGCTTAGCTTTAGCTTAGCTGTAGCTTAGCTGTAGCTTAGATTCAGCTTAGCTTTAGCTTAGCTGTAGCTTAGCTTTAGCTGTTTTTAGTTCAGCGTTAGCTTAACTTTAGCTTAGGTTTAGCTTAGCCGCAGCTTAGCTTTAGCGTAGCTTTGGCTTAGCTGTAGCTTAGCTGTATCTTAGCTTTAGCTTAGCTTTAGCTTGGCTTTAGCTTGGCTTCAGCTTAGCTTTAGCGTAGGGGGGGAGGGCCGAGGTCTCGCCTGACGCCCGCCCCGTGGACGCCTCGTGGGCGCCTCGTGGGCGCCTCGTGGGCGCCTCGTGGGCGCCTCGTGGGCGCCTCGTGGGCGCCCCGCGCTTGGGGTGTGTGCCGAGGTCTCGCCTGGTGCCCGCCCCGGGGCGCCTCGTGGACGCCCCAGCAGCGCGCACCACGCAGAAGTCCCCGCTCGAGAGACACGTGGCAGCCACCACCACCCCGAGCCTGGACGCAGCGAGGCCCCGTGGGACACTTTGAATCACATGCAAGATTATGCCGCGCTGCGCGCTTCCCATCGGCAATCAGACCATCACAGGTCGGCTGGAATCGCCCACCCCCCCCTCCTCACCCCTGTGAAATAATTCTACGCGCGCGCACCCGCTTATCTGCACGATCATGTTTCGATAGCCCGTTGCAACACATGGCACGACGTCCACACGCGCGCGCACATGTCAAAGTCAGAACAAACGCAGCGGTGGTGCAAGCATTCTAACCTAAACACATCCATCATACATCTTCCAGATCTGCTGCCCGCGCGGACTTGCCCAAATCCCAGGGAACGATTAGGGTTCAGCAAACACCCACGTGGATCTAGCAGGCACCCAGCGCACGAATCCCTAGCACATATCATTATGTGTGCCACGCGCGCGCGCCGCCGCGCGCGCGTGGCCCTTCCCAAACCCTTGGTTTCCGCAGCACTTCAAGATATGGCTTGTCAAGCACAGCGGCAAAGCACGTATCCTGCCTGGTACAATGGATTTCTGCGCGCGCGAACTTCCCCGCTATCGCCATGTTTAGTGCCATCGCATTACCACTGCCATCGCCATCGCCATCGCCAATCGCTGCGCACGTTATTTCTTCCGCGGCTTCAGACGGATTGCTCTCTCTCTCTCTCTCTTTCTCTGTCTCTCCTGTTCGTCGCCAGCCACGAGCAGGAGCAGCAGAAAGACATGGAATAATAGAACGGTGGAGGATAAGGATAATGTGGAGGAGGAGGAGGAGGAGGAGTAGGAGGAGGAGGTGGACGACGAGGAGGAGGAGGAGTAGGAGGACGAGGAGGAGGGAGGGAGGAGGAGGACGACGAGGGAGGGAGGACGAGGAGGACGAGGTATAAGGAGAGTGTGGTGGAGGAGGAGGACGAGGACGAGGACGAGGACGGAGGGATGAGCCCGCAAGCCTCTCACATGCCCTCCTTCATCTACCGTGGCAATGTTGACCGCAGACTTGCGCGCACGTCGCGAGTGCCTTTTACACCGGTGTTGGCAGTGACAGATGGCACCCCCCAGGAGTGTAGTGTGTATTCGCTTGCGAGCAGCTCGGACGGCTCATTCGTGGCGCAGGCCTTCCTGTGCACCATGCCTGGCGCAGACTACCTCGCGGTCACCGCAGTGGCGTTCAGAGTAGATGGCCACGATGTCTTCATCTGGGAGGGAGGAACCACAGATAAGCAAAAACTTCAAACGTCCGCGGACGGTTTCTGCGCTGGTACCCAGACCCCATCCTTGTTTTTTCGCTTTGGCACGAGAAGCACGCCAGTGTGCGAGGAGGGGATCCAGCGCTGGCGAAGAGAACCTCCGCGGACGTCCGAAGGTTGGCTTTATGTGTGTTCCTGGCCTCCTGGCGTCAGCAACCAGCAGGTCATGGTCGACGGGGTGAACGGCTTCCCCGCAGGCCTCCATGTTCGGGGCAAGTTGCACTCGGGAGGAGCAGGAGGAGGAGGAGGAAGAGGAGGAGGAGGAGGAGGAGGAGGAAAAGAAAAAGGAAATGGGAACAACAACAAAGGAGAGAGAGAGAGGAGGCAGGAAAAGGGGATCGGGAGACTGCATCCCCGCAGGCCTTGTCCGTGAGGTCACGTCGCAGAGCGCGAGAGGAGGAGGGCGAGGAGGCGGAGGAGGAGGAGGAGGAGGAGGAGGTCCGGGGTAGGTCGTGGGATCTCCGGAGATCCAGCGCGCCTGCGCGTTGGTGGCCTGGGGGGGGGGGGGGGCCTGCAGCACCGGCTGGGGAACGGAGGGGGCAGCGAGCACCCCTCTGCAGGGCAGGCCCGGCGCCCGTGCGAGGGGCCGAGAAAGGGTCGGGAGCTCCTGGCATCGGCGCGTCGCCCCGTCGCTCAAGAAGGTCTCGGCACGCCCGGGTTGGAAACGCAGCACGTGCCGTGCTCAAAACGTCTGCGTCAGCGCGTTGCGTGTTGGCTCCACGTGTTGGCCCACGTTTCGGCGAACGTGCCGCGTGAGGCTTACGGTTGCCGTCTCCGTGTGGAGTGCCGAATCAACACGCTACGTGTTGTGTGTTGCGAGTTGCGTTGCGGGGCAGCTGAGCTCCGTCGGATCTGGCCTATCGCGCTTCGGCACGACACGCTAGCCAGTTCTCTGGCCCAACACCGTCAACGTCCCGAGCGGCTCCCCGCCTCCCGCCCCGCGGAGAGGAGGGGCACGCGATCCGCTCGCGGGGCATACGTGTCGCTGGGGCCGCCGCCTAGACACGCTAAGCAAAAGATCCCGACCGTCCAGCCGAGCATCTGACTAAGAAGCCTCTTCCCGAAAAGCTGATCCAGCGTTTCTTAACCATTTTGCCGGAGAGCTGACCCAGATTCTTGAACATGTTCGCCTTCCAGTGTTCCAAGCAGGCATTGGCCAATATATTTTCCGATGCATTTTCAGAAGGTGGCCCAATTCTCTTAAGCGATCAGTTTCTTGGTCATCTGTTTGGCTGCAGTTCAAATGAAAACCACGGGCTGGAGCCTCGGCCATGGACGGCGGCGTCCGAAAAGGAGGAGAAAGTGGAGGAAGCGGCGTCCCCGCAGGCCTCCTCGTGGGGGGCAAGCTGCAGAGCGCCGGGGGGGCAGACTTTGCCAGCTCCGACGGGTGCCACGCAATCGACCCCGCTAGGTCGATCGGGGTCCGGTCAGGCCGACGAGCAGGGAGGAGAGGAGGAGAAAATGGAGGATATATACATCTATAGAGAGAGATAGAGAGAGAGAGAGAGAAACAGGTAGCGCCCTCCCGTCATCTAGTGTGTGTACGTATGACATCTGGCCCCATCCAACTCATCCGTCCCTACTGCGTTCAATTATGTGCGATCCGCTGGCTGGGGTGTCCGATCCCAAATCGTTTCCTTTTTGCGATGCGCAAGCAGAGGCGAGGAGGTGGCGGACGAGCAGGTGGCGACGAGGAGGTGGACGGAGGAGCAGAAGGAAGAGCAGGATGACGAAGAGAGCAGGAGCAGGAACAGGAGGCGCAGGAGGACCAGGGAAAGGCGGAGGAGGGAAAGAGAGTGGGACAACAGCGACGAGGAACCAATCGAATCCAAGAAGGCGTCCCGAGCTGAGGCGAGAGCGCGGGACAAACCGCCGCGCCTGAACTGCGGCCAGCGCTGCAGCGGGAGCACCACTCTGCTCCCCAGCTGGTGCTTGCACTGAGGGGGTCCTATAGCAAGGGGCCCCCGCGGAGACTGAAAAACTGGGTGAAAAGGTCTCCAGCCGATTTTGGTGGTCGGCCGGGTTCCCGGCCCCCGGGGTCCCAGGTCCAGGCTTTTGGGCTGATCTTCGGTGGGCGCGGGCGGGCTCCCGGGTTCCCAGTTCTGGGCCCGGAGCTCCCAGCTCTGTAGGGTCCCTGGGTCCCCGGTGTTCGCCAGCGTGGGCCCTCCACAGTGACTTTTTGCAGTCTGCGCGACGCAATCCAGAGGGTGCAGGTAATGTGGTGCGATCTAGATGGTACAATCCCCTCTGCTGAACTTGAAGTCGTCATCTGCACTGCTCGCGCAAACATCCCACCCTCCCACGCGCAACTTGTTTGGCAAAATTCATGATGCGGGGGACGGCGGCGCCACCGATGACGACATCGATGATTACATCCTCACTGTCGATGTTCGTCACGTGAGCCGATGATCAAGGTGAGCATACCGACGATACTCGGACGTGCGCAATGACAAGATGACGTCGGCAACGTCTGCGACAATGACAAAGATGGCACCAGGGACGACGATGTTCAAGAGGGCGACGGCACGAACGATAACGGCGCCAATGCTGGCAACCACGTTGACGATATTGATGTCCATCTGTCGATGAGGCAGGTGATCGCAGTGATGCTGACAAGGTTGAAATGGAAATCTGCGCGCGCGCGAAAGTTCAACAAATCCGTCAGACTGATCATGCGCGCGTGGCGGTGCGCGAATGTGGCCCGCGTTGTATCTCTTGCAAGGGATTCGCGCTCCCGGCGCATGACAGGGGCATCGCGGGTGCGCCGCGCGGTGACATGAAATCGTTGCATTTGGCAGAATACATAAGAATCTTGTGGTTGTTGTAGATTCTAGCATGAGCGCGCGGACTGGCAATTTACACGTGTATATATATATATATATACGTTTGCAAAACCCTTTGGGTTGTTTTGGTTCGTATGCTGGAACGCTTGCACACACATGGTGTTTGGTGCGATTGTGAGATGGGCGCGCGCGATGACTTTGTGGCATTTGTTTGCAAGGGATTCGTAGACACTTACGATTTTGATGAACGAGTGTGCGTTGATCGCATTTGTTGCAGAGGATGGCGTGGGGGGGCGATACCAGCCTGGCTGGGATGATATGAGTTCATATTTAGAACGGACGATGGGGCATAATCCTATGTGAATGGCAATACGAGAAAAGGGGGCCGTTAACCCCGGAGGGGTGCGGTGGAGTTCATGTTTGAAGCCGCGAAGACTCACGTGGCGCAGTCTAGGTGGTGCAATTAATTTCTGTTCGCAGTGACTTGTCCACTCCACTGCTCGCGCAAACACCCCACCCGCCCACCCGCAACTTAGTTTGCAAAACCTCTTCAGACCGTGAAGGTGGGTACCAAATGGCACTTGGCAGCGACGCCGACGACGACGAGGACGACGACGTCGCCGACTACGACGCCGCCGGCAATGAGTACGACGACGCCGACGACGCCTTCAACGAATTCGACGACGCCGACAACGACGACGACGACGACGACGACGCAAACCGCGACGACGACGCCGACACCGACGACGACGACGCCGACGACGCCGACGACGACAAAGACGACAACGACGACGTCGCCAACGAAGACGGCGACGACGACTGAGAACGGAGGACGACGACGGCGGCAACGACGACAATGGCGAGGGAGAAGGGAGGACGGCGACGACGCGAGCGACGAAGAAGGAGGGAGGACGGCGACGCCGACGACGACAACGACGACGGAGGAGGAAAGACAACGACGACGACGACGACGACGACGACGACGGCGACGACGACGAAGACGACGACGACGACGACGACGACGACGACGACGGCGGCAACGCAGGCGACGACGACGAGGAAGGAAGGAGGACGACGACGGCGGCAACGACGACAACGGCGAGGGAGGAGGGAGGACGGCGACGACGCGAACGACAAAGAAGGAGGGCAGACGGCGACGCCGACGACGACAACGACGAGGGAGGAGGAAAAACGACGACGACGACGACGGCGACGAAATAGGAGGGACAACGACGAAACGCCGACGAACGACGACGAGGGAGGAAGGACGACCACGGCGACAACGACGACGGAAACGACGAGGACGCCAAGACGACGACGACGACGACGACGACGAGGAAAGACAGAAACGGCAACGACGACGACGACGTGGGAGGAGGGAGGACGGCGACGACGACGATGACGACGCAAGAGCGCACTGTGTTGCGAAACCGTGTTGCGAAAACCTGGTGCTGTTTGTATGTTGAAGGGAACTCGATTTTGGAACCCGTCCGAAACCGAAGGTTTTTGAAAGATTCCGGCATGCGCGCGCGACGGCGCGCGCGTGCGCATGCCGTCCCATTTTGTTTTTTGCACAGGATTCTCGCGACGGCACGCGCGCAAGGGCGTTCGAAAGATTTCGACATGCGCGCGCGCGAAGGCCGTTTGGTTGCATGCCTTGGAAATCTTGAACAACCTATCGTTTCCTTAAGATTTCGCAAGAGCGTGCGCGTAACATTTGTTTAGAAGATCTGTGTTGCGAAACCATGTGTTCTTGTATGTTTTTTGGAATTCGATTTGAAGATCATTCCAACACCGAAGGTTTTTGAAGGATTTCGACATGCGCGCGCGACGACACGCACGTGCGCACTTCGCCCCATTTTTGTGCAAAGGCTTCTTCGGAACTTATGATTTGTGATAAACGAGAGTGCGCGCACATTTTTTTTGCAGAGGATGGCGGGGGTGGGGGGGGCCATCCCAGCTTGGCTGGGATCGTACGGATTCATATTTACGATGGACGATGTGGCAGAACTGTATGTAAATTGCAATGCGAAAAGGTGTCCCGTTAATTTTTGTTGGGGGGTAAAGTTTATTATTACAGAAATGTGTGTGTGTATATATATATATATATATATATATATATCAGGAGTCCGTGTGGTGCAATCTACGTGGTGCAATTAATTTTTGTTCGCAGTGGATTGTCCACTCCACTGCTCGCGCAAACATCCCACCCACCCACCCGCAACTTGATTTGCAAAACCTCTTCAGACCGTGACGGTGGGTACCAAATGGCATTTGACAACGACACCGACGCCGACGACGACAGCGACAACGACGACGACGCCGCCGACAACGACTACGACGACACCGACGACGTCTCCAACGACTTCGACGACGCTGGCAACGACGACGACGACGACGACGACGACGACGACACCGACGACGACGACGACGACGCCGACGCCGACGACGACGACGACGACGATGACAACGACGACGACGACGACACCGACGACGACGACGCCGACGACGACGACGACGACGAAGACGACGACGAGGACAAAGACGACGACGACGAAAACGACGACGACGACGACGACCACGACGGCGGCAACGCAGGCGACGACGACGAGGAAGGAAGGAGGACGACGACGGCGGCAACGACGACAACGGCGAGGGAGGAGGGAGGACGGCGACGACGCGAACGACAAAGAAGGAGGGCAGACGGCGACGCCGACGACGACAACGACGAGGGAGGAGGAAAAACGACGACGACGACGACGGCGACGAAATAGGAGGGACAACAACGAAACGCCGACGAACGACGACGAGGGAGGAAGGACGACCACGGCGACAAGGACGACGGAAACGACGACGACGCCAAGACGACGACGACGACGACGAGGAGGAACGACAGAGGACGACGACGGCGAGGACGAAGACGACGACGACGACGACGGAGGAGGGAGGATGGCGACGATGACGACGACGCAAGAGCGCGCGCGCGCGCTTTTGTTGAAAAGCCCGTTTGCGAAACCCTGTGTTGTTGCAAGTTGTTTGGACACTCGATTTTGCAATCCGTCCGAAACCGAAGGTTTTCGAAAGATGTCGGCATGCGCGCGCGACGATGCGCGCGTGCGCATATCGGCCCGTGTTTTGCAAAGGATGCTTGCGACGGCACGCGCGCAAGGGCGTTCGAATGATTTCGACATGCGCGCGCGAAGCCCGTTTGGTAGCAATTCGTGAAAATCTTGAAAAGCCGATGATTTTTTCAAGATTTCGCAAGAGCGCGCGCGTAATTCGTGTAGGCACTTCAGTGTTGCGAATCAGCGTTTTTGCACGTTTTTGGAAACTCGATTTTGAAACCCTTTCGAAACCGAAGGTTTTTGAAGGATTTCGCTATGCGCGCGACGACGCGCGCGTGCGCACTTCGTCCTATTATTTGCAATGGGTCTTTGGGCACTTCTGATTTCTGATAAACGAGAGCGCGCGCATAGTGTTTTTTGCAAAGGATGCAGGGGGGGCGATACCGGCTTGGCTGGGATGGTACGAGCTCATATTTAGGATGGGCGATAGGGCAACATCGTATGTAAATTGCAATACGAAAAAGTGACCCGTCATTTCTGGTGGGTTAGAGTCTATTTT